GAGATCAGTGGATTTGGATCCGACAGATCCAGATCCTAGGTTTTTTTTTCACCAATATCTGGCATTCTATGTCTATCAAGGGTTTAATTACTTGTTGACTACTCCTCAGAAAAAAGTCAACATACAGTTATTTTTTTGTTATTCACTTTTCCATGTAGATATCTACGGATCCAACAAAAAATAAAACTTTAGACACTATCGACTCGGCCACATCTGGGCTCAGAAGAACTCGCAGCTCTTTACCGAGGAAGAAAAGAATCAGTCTAATTGATTAAAACAGACTGGAGACACGATATTTTTTTTGTTGCCTAGTTATCTATGGGTTAGTCTGTATAATCACATAGTCCTATTTTCAATACTGGATCTAGTGATAATAAGCAATGAAAGAAATGCCAATCAATGTTGAATTCGAAATCTACTCATGCATTTGACATAAAAGTCATTTTTGCAAGATGATAATTTGACCATATGAAGTATAGCAATGACACAGATTATTTTGTCATGTTAAATTGTTCTGACAAACTAAAACCAAGAAGGTACACTAATAGCAAGAGAATTGATTTAACAACGTCTTTCATTTATAATTGTTTTCGACAAAATTAATTGAACTATTGTCACACCATGGCTGTAGTGCAGTACTCTCATTTGCGTGAAACTCAGTTCGTATGGGTACTATTGCAGAAGAGAAACCCCTTCATTGTCACAATGTATTGATTATGTATTGCATCAATGAATTTTTTTTCTGTTCTCTATGTAAAAAACAGTGAGAATGCTCCTATTCTGCAGTAGTACAAGGACATTAATTTTGGAAAATAGTTTTATATAATTTTTATATGTAGGTTGATGACCAAATTTTATCAATAAATGATGAAATAGCTATAGGTATTAACCATAAACATGTTATTCATATTCTTCATTCAGCAACAGCGACAAATCAAGTTCGTTTTCATGTTCAACATTTTTTTCCACCTTTATTATCAAATGAATATCAACAATTATTATATGATGCAAGATCGACTGAGGATGATGATGAAAATATTCATCAAGTTCTTAATCATAGTATAAATCGAAAGAAAAATAATTATCATAATACAAATGTAACAACAGAAAATGAAGTTTGAATGTGACAATCATCCCTAAAACATCATCAAGAACAACAACAATATCGACATAGTACATTTGATTTACTATTTCATAATAAAAACGATGAGGAAGAACAAAATAGTATGATTAAGTCGTACAAGAACTTGATTTTTCACATGATACTCTTCAATCATTAATAAATTCAAGATTTAAATTAACTGATGATTGTTGATTTGATTAGGAAAATTTATCCAAAACTATTATCAAATGATCAAAAACAAGAATTGAAATTTATTGAACAGTTATCCTCAGACTAATACAGGTATAATTGAAAATTCTTTTTTTTTCATAAATACATACAAAGTAAATTAATATAAAAGAAACTTTTCGAATGAGAACTGATATGATCACATTGTTTTGAAGATATTTTTTCCAAACCAAAAAAAAAATGAAAGTAAATTTTGTTTCGTATTATAACTATAATGAATGCAAAATATACGGGATTCGCGTTTTGTTTCGTGATTCTCTACTTGAAATTTTCTAAATTTATTTCTCTTGTTTGATAACAAATATAATAAAATCAGTTAGAATTTGTATGAAACAACTCAAATAACAAAAATTCAAAGATTATTATATAAATATCTTCACAAATGTTGCTTTTTGACGTCTCTAATAATCGAATGACATCATCTGAATAATATTTAGCATCTTATAAAGGTGTAGAATTATGTTGTTATAATGAATGGTTTATTTTAATTTGAGCTATCTATGATCAAATATCAATGATAGATTATTATCTAAGCGAATCATCTCATCTATGATATTGTTCAAATCTGGAAGAGAAAATCAAAAAAAAAAATGTTACAATTGTTGATCAAGGAAATCGAACAAAATATTTTAGATTTCATGTAAAAACAACTTCAAATGAATTTTTCAAGTTCAGATTTGATATTATGATAAAAGAAATAAATTATGTCAGTTTTACAAATATCTTTGTTTCAATATATATGAAATGTGTAATGTGTAATGTGTAATATATTAGTAAATAAAAATAAATAGATTTTTTTGTGTTTTCTAGAGCATCGAATAACAACATTAAAGGATTTTGAACGGCAATCAAGTATTCTTCTTGGTCAATGTATAAATCTTCTATTGTATCATAACTTAAATGCGAATATGAACAACAGGAAATTTTTTTTACCGTTAGGTTCCCCATAGAATCAGAGATATGACATCGTCCAATAATTAAAAATCATTGTTTATTTTCATTAGGTCAAGTTTTACTAACTTCTCTTTTGAAGAAATTGTTTTTGCATAGTTGTCATCAGCATGTTCATCTTCAGTGGAAAAATAGCTTAAGAAATGCAGTGAATTGTATGCGACAACGTATTACTATTATAAAGAAATGACTAATAAATGGCAGAATTTTTTATGAAAAAACCAAATAGTTTCGTTCTCAGCCATAGAAAAACTTGCATAAATGTGATTTACTTTAGATAATTCCATATTCATTTTATGAAGTTTTTTGTGGAACCTACATACATTTTCGTAAAAAAACAATGAATGTAAGGTTTAAGTTAAAATTGAGATATACATCCTTTCTACATGAACATATATCTATATATGAACTCCATACTCATCCAGAACTAGCCACGTATATCTGACTGAAATGAAATGTGATAAAACTGCTTCTTAATCAAGAATAGGCGTTTGTAATGAATGCTGAATAACTGTCCAAAACGAAAAAGACCAATGACAAACAAAATACAATCCATCTTGACTCATTATTGCTTTAGACACCACATAAAATATGTCAGCTAAATTCCGTAGTTCTCCCCTTCCACCAGCTCTATCTAGTAAAATTATATTTTTTTGATACAGAATCTATGTTCAGAATAAAAAGAGAATATTCCTTCTCAATAAAACAAATTCCATGGTATAAAATAATATCTATTTTGATCGACGTTCACTTGAAATGTTACATGGAGAGGATCGTTGACATTTCATCATATAATATTAATTTCTCGAACACGATGAGGGATAGACAACCGAAGTTTTAGCTATACTGATATGCGTATCCGCGATAAGAAATTGAGCAAAAACGGATGAATTCTTCAAAAAGTCTTTGGGACAAAGTTTGCGAAAACTGATTCTACAAGATGTGTGATACTCAAATTTTAAGAAAAATATCACTTTTTATCATCGGAGATGAAAGTGAACCAGAACAAATTTCTTGTCAATTTCATTTTCTACATAACGGTTTCTCTTTTGAAAACCTCAGCTTTTCTTCGACTTGTCGACAGATGAAGAAAAGAGAAACATTATAGTCTTTGTACATGAAAATAAACAAAATGTCTGCAATGCACTATTTCAGACAAATGGATATGAAAAGAGGGACGGAGAAACGATACCTATTTATGATTCGACAGAAAACTTCAAGCTCAACAAAATGAGTTGTTCATTATCTTCTTTTTCTTTCTTTTAGTATCTATAGGAAATTTCGTTTTTCTTGAAAGAAAATCTCTATAAAATACGATTTTTTCAAGTTGTGTGAACCTCATACGTTAGCGATGGTATGAGCTCGAGAGATAATTTTTGATGTGGATATGGGTGGAAAACCCAGAGAGGAATAAATTATAAAACAATTGTTCAAATCGGTCAAGAGAAACAAAAGTTATTATTCAAACACAGTCACAATCTCAGTCGTACCAAAAAGTTCCAATTAATTCATTCATATAAATATGCTATCGGCTAATCAAAAGTTCTAAGAATAATAATTAAAATTGTGCAGTCAAAGAGATATTTTTAGTTTTATTTTATAAGGGTGTGTTAGTGTGAGTGTGGCTGGGATCTGTGGGTGTTCGGTGTGAATTAATTATAATGAATATGAAAATGCACGAACAGACGAGTCCACCTACAATCACACTCAAATCCTATATTGAACCTGAGCTAAAATTTTCAATTTAGAAAAGAATCAATAATGAAAAAATCAGTCTATTGGATCAACAACAAATCAGCTAAAAAATTTCTCTCGTTATGAAAGAGAATTTGAATTTCATTTGATAAACTCTTTTCTGTCATAGTTTTCGAAGAAACAAAGCTTTTCGCTGATCTTCAATTTATTGAAGTATATGTATATCATCAAAGAAAAAAATTACTAATAACGAAATGGAATTTTTCACCTGAGAATAACAAAAATGAATAAAAAATGCATCAATTTGAATTCATCAACATTTCTTTTCAAAATCGAGTTGAGATTGATTGTGCATCAGCATCATATGCTATTCCAACTTCAGCAGATAAAATTGATGATGAAGTACTAAACCGAATTGCACGAAGACGAAGCCAGATTCGATATAAAAATTGACGACCAGCATGTAGAAATACGTGTAATATATGAATAAAAAATTGATATAATCGACGAAGATGTATAAAAAGTAAACCAAGACATAAAGATACAGCAACTAGGGATGCACCAGTCCCAGTTAACTGAAGGTACCCAGTCCGACTGGGACCCAGTTAACTGAAGGTACCCAGTCCGACTGGGACCCAGTTAACTGAAGGTACCCAGTCCGGCTGGTACCCAGTTAACTGGAGGTACCCAGTCCGGCTGGTACCCAGTTAACTGGAGGTACCCAGTCCGACTGGGTAAAACTTCGAGTTCTAGCAAAAATACCTATAGATTCTTGTTCTATGTAAAGTAAGTATCATTCGATGTAAGGCCCAGTCGGACTGGGCCTTACATCGAATGACAGTGAGAATTCATAAAACAAGAATCCATAGGTATTTTTGCTAGAACTCGAAGTTTTACCCAGTCGGACTGGATGCCTCCAGTTAACTGGGTACCCCCAGTTAACTGGGTACCCAGTTACTGGCACTGGTGCACCCCTACTGACAGCAACTATTCCTTGTTTCCAACCGGTAAAACCACCAATTACATTTGATAATATACCAATTAATAACGACGAGACGAATTTTATTGTTTTATTTCCTGGAAGCAAAAATGATAAGATAAATCAGTTTAAAAAATAGTTTACAGAAAAAAAAACTAACGAGTACCCCATATTAAATAAGCCACTTTTGTATCTCGTATTTTAATTTCTAAATACGCCTTAGTAAAACACAGAATATATCACTAAATTTAGCATACCAAGTTCTGCAATCCACCAAGTAAAACTTATTTTAATTGTGTACTTTTTGTTTTTGAAAAAAACTGAAATTCTTTGTGACTACTTTTCATAGTATCAAAAATTAGCTATACCAAGTCTACTGTCTTTGAAAACAAAAAGCACGCAATTTAAATAAGCTTTACTTGGTAAATTGTAGAGCTTTTCACGCTACAACTAGCGGTTTGTTCTGTTGTGTAGGGAGCCCCCTCAAAAATCGATCTCAGTCCAGGAACGTCCGAATGGTATTAAATTTTCAGGATATGTTGCGACGGATGAGCCGTGGCTATGGTAAAATTTTCAGTCCTGTACCATGACGTTTGACAGAGATATCGGCCAAACTAGGATCAAAAAATGGCTAATTTCGTCTCCAAAATTTCTCTGTAGTCTTCAGTCTACACGTTTGATATTTTTTTTTTGTTTGAAAAAGCGTATAAAACTCCAGTGCCTATGAGAGCCCTTTTTTAAACTCTTATTTTTTAAGGGAAAAAAGGATCGAAAGTTCAATGACTCAAAAAACTCTAAAAAAAGTGGCGCTCTAATTATATAAAGATTTATATATATAATAAAAGCAGAGCTTTATAAAAAAAAAACCTGGTTCTCATAGGCACTGGAGTTTTATACGCTCTTTCAAACAAAAAAGCCTATTGGCTATAATGAAGCTTCTCCGAGAATTCTTGAAGATGCGATCGAGAATCTATAAAACGAGAAAAATCGAAAAAGATTTTTGGTTTTTTTCAAAAACAGCTTGTTTTTCAAATAGGGGATGTCAGAAATCTCCAAAAATTTTTGGAAAAAAAGGGGGCATCGAGTAAAAATTTTTGTCGTTTATGAGAGATCAAATCACGGGCTATCTTGCCCTACATTTATCTTGATTTCGGTGATTTTGACGAAAAGTGACTTTTTTAAGGAGCTCTTTAATAAAACGTATTTGAGATTCGAATACGGCATACAAAAATAAACACTTATTATAGGGCACCCGTTATTTCCACAAAGTAAAAATATACGTACGAATATTATATCCATCTATTCATATTTTTTATCTGTTTTTGCCTGGTACCACGAAGATAGATACTTCCAAACTTTCCAATTAGTGACATCTAATCAAAAATAGAACCTCATTTTGAACAATTGTCTATTTGTAAACTTGAGATAATTATTAATTGTTCTTCATGTTTCTGAGAAAGAAAACGTAAGCGATTTGACTTCAGGAAAAAGTCATTGATTAAAATAATAGACCATGAATTTTTCTCAATGATGGCTAAATGGTTTCTACTCAATATGAAATTTCATTTTTCATATTGAACACATCGGCATATTGTTTTCAATTTCGATTGAAAGTTCCCGAAGAGAACAAAACAATCCTGTTTATCATGAAATTCCGGCTAGAACCTGACAGTTTTTCTGTGGAAAAACGACTTACACTTTTCACCTGTTTTTTTTACGCCTGTTGGGAATCCTAAAATCATAGAAAAATTTTCTTTCAATTCCAAGAAATTATACATTATCGAATGTAGCGTTTGATGATAATTCTAAATATGGTGTTACAATTTGACGATCATGAAATTTTGACCGAGAAAGACTTACTTTATTGCACTATTCTGAGAGAAGATCATTTTCAGTCCTCATTGTCGGCTAATCCGGCAACCTTATTAGGAAATCTAAACCGTAAAAGACATGTAGAACATTGAACTTCCCATCAATGTCATGCAAAACAAAACATTCAAACCCGTATTTTGGATAACTTTAGGGTCAAATATTCAAAGAAAAAACAAATATCAGACTTTTAATCGCCTTTTTTTTGTGACATCAATGGGAAATTCAATGTTATACACGTCTTTTACATTTTAAATTTCTCAATGACGTTGCCAAGCTAACTGGCGACGAAAACCAAAAATGGTCTTCTATTAGAGTTGTTTAAGACAATAGATTTATCTCGATCAAAATTTCATTTTCGTCGAATTGTAACGTCATATTCCAAATCAGCATCAATTACTGCATCTGATGACGTTTAAATCAAAAGAATTAGAAAAGAACAATTTTCGATACTACAATTCTCATGTCCTACAGGTGTAAAACGGCAGGTGACAAAAGAAAGTCGTTGTACAACAGAAAAACGTGGCTCATTTAGCTCACATTTTTATGTTCATTCAGGATATAACTCTTTTTTATTAAATATTTTGAACAAAGCAATGCCCTTATTGGTACTGCTTCCTTAAAATAATAATTCCTTGAGCAGGTCCCATGATGTTCAATAAAACATGCAGATTCGCACTTTCTTCTTTGATATTTACATAGTCAAATTCATACATACACGGTAGAGCGTCTTGAATCTAGGTGAGGTTCATTGTGTTTTATTCTTCTCATCCGTCGAAATTCGACAGTTAAAATTTTATTAGAGCATCAAGTAAAGCTCTTGTATTAACTTCAGTAGATCAACAGAAGAATGAATAAAAAATTAATATGATTAAAAAGTACCAAAGAATAGTTTTCTTTGTTCGTTTTTGGATGCATAACAAAATGAAAAAATTCATGGGATGGAATACCTCATATATGTGAAAGAGAGATAAGGAAAAGTCCAACGGAGAGAATAAACAAAATAATCTAGGCGAAACAAGAAGAGAACAACATATACACATAGGAAAGAGAATGACAAAGGTAGTAGGACGAACGATATATACCACTACCTAACATTTCTGAATATTTAAAATCTAAATGCACATTCTTATCTCAACCTATTCTTTTCTCTTGTGAAATAAAAGCATAACTCATATCCAACTGCCATCATGTCAATTCGAGGACAAGATAGTCACTATGAGCAGCACACATCAAAGAAAAGTATATTTTCTGTCTGTCTCTGCCAGGACAGTGGCGACCACAAGTGCATAAGAGACGTGAAAACTATATAGTATCGTGGGGTATCAAGTTCAAAATTGGGTGAGGGTAAGCCTCAATTGGCGAAAACCATGTGAGGCTCAAGCCTCTGAGCCTCAAAGGCTCCGCCGTCTATGGATTCATACCTCATCTCTTGGATAGCACTCGAAATAAAACAGATATCAGAACTGGTTACGTTGAGGAAAGCTCAGTTTAACAAAGATCCTTTTTTTCGAATTTAAAAAAAAAGAGATAGACCCTTTCGCGACGATTCAATTTCCATAGAAAGTAACGAGTGACTCAGAATAAATGGTCGCACTTCGCATCTCATATTTTAATCTCTAAATATGTTTTATTAGAAAACAAAATATATCATAAGATGCAGTGTGAAAAGCTCTACAATCTACATAGTAAAGCTTATTTCATTTGTGTACTTTTTGTTTTCAAAAGAAGCAAAAATCTGTGCGACCAATTTTTGAGGTTGCGAAAATTGATCGCATAGAATTTTGCTTCTTTTGAAAACAAAAAAGTGCACAATTGAAGTAAGCTTTGCGATGTAGACTGTAGAGCGCTTCACGCTACATCTTGTGGAATATTTTGTTTTGTCTTACGAAATCATATTAGGTGATAAAAAGATGAAATAACAAAAACGAAATGTCTTATTCGTGTAGAAAAAAAATGATCGTTTCGCAACCTCGAAAACTGGTCACACAGAGTTTTGCTTTTTTTTTGAAAACAAAAATTACACAATTAAAATAAACTTTTCCTATGAAGATTGTAGAGCTTTTCACGCTGCATCTCATGATGTATGATATTTTTTTAATAAAACATATTTAGAGGCTAAAATATGAAATGCAAAGTGCCGCCATTTATTCTCGGTCACCCGTTAACTTTAAAATATAGTATGGCCCACCAGTGGGCCACATCGTCACGAAAGAGTTAATTATTATCGAAAATATTGATCAAAAATTGAAAGATATGTTACTCTAGTTCCATACAAAATATGTTTTCAATAAAAGTATTTCTTACTCAATGTCAACCATGAATTGTTTATTATATCTTCTAATTCTTCGAGAAATTGATGATCACCTAAAGCAATATTTATCGAATAGTATGTAAATTCCATCTTTTACCTGGTAATTCTTTTGCAAATTGAATAACAGCTTTCGCCTCGTTCACCTTATTCAAGTGAAGCAAAGCTCTACTAAAAAAAAAGATTTCCAACTTTTCTCTTATCATTTTTTTTATTACTCACGCTTTCTGTGAATATGCCAAAATATTATTTGAATCAAGACCAATTGCTATTTCACTATCAGCTAGTGATTCTGAAAAATCGGTAATATATCAAGATAATATAGAGATGTATTACCTTCATATCTTTTAGCAAGAATACAGTAGCCAGCACGTCTTACAAATACTAATGAAGTATCATATGCATTAAATGTATTTGTAGCCAATTGAATAATTCTTGAGTAAATCTGAGACAAAAAACAAAGAAAATGAAACAAGATAATTAAAAGAAAGAATGAAAAACTATTACCTCGATCGCTTCATTGAATTGACCCGTTGAAACAGCATTGGCAGCATTTAATTCAAGTTGTTGAATTGAATTACTCATGATTGAGGTAAAATTTTCAATGTAAAAGTAAAAACTAGCAATGAAAATAGTACAACAACTGTGTTTATACGTGATCAAAGAGAGATACAATTTATTTATAATTGTTTTTCTGCAACCATTATTGTTGTTGATTACAAACCTGACCTACATCTGTGATTGTTTTCAAAAATTAATGCAGTGGGAGCCAATTGAATTTCCATTCTTTGTTTTAAGGCAACGAGGAAAATTCAATTCAACTGACCACTACCGTAGTTGGTAAAGATTTGAAAAAATGAATAGTAATGAGTGACATCTATGATAAAAACAGCTTTTCAATGTGGAATGAAAAGAGAAACAAGTCTTATTTTATTTGATTATTTATCGCCATATAATTCTTTCTTTCAGAAAAGGGAATAAATAAAAAGATATCAATTAGAACAAGTAGCTTGAAAAATAGAAAATGCATTCAAAAGATGTTTATACCCTAGTCGAACTTTTTTATTCAAGCGCTTGACAAGACTTGAGCTCAAGATGTGTCCATAGCGCATGACTTTCCTGGTCAAGACAAGCATTTGAGTGATCGCATGAGTCATGCGCATGGTTGAAAAAGTCATGCGCTGAACTAAAAAAATTACTAGTGCGAGTTTTTATTAAAATTTCAGTCATTTTGAACGTAGAACTGGAAAAAAACACTGAAAATATTTCTTTAACATTTAAGCACGTAACATATGCTTGCACAGACGTTCAAGCGCATGAGCAAGAATATCAAGCGCTTTAGTTTTTCCTAATGGTCTCAAGTCTTGACTCAAGATGTATCCATAGCGCATGACATTCAGGCTCAAGAAACTCAAGAATGTCATGCGCTTCCTAAAAAAAGTTCGACTAGGGTAGATATTAAAAATTATAATCGATTGTAAACGATAATGAAAATCTTTCAATATTTCTTTTTACAGATATAATTTATTCATTAGAGAATTTTACAATAGCAATACACCATAAACAAATATTATCAGTATCATACATAGATCTTGTCTGATTTGTATAACATTGTATAAATCTGTAAAGAGCACTGGCTCGATTATCAATGCATAATTATTTCATACATAGTTAATAATAAAGTTATTGTGATCTAATTAATTATTTATAGTGAAATAAGTCATTTCATCTTTCTTAACTATTCAAATCAATGGTAACAACAACTTTAGGTTTTTTTTACCTAACAAATGATTTAAATAATATGTTCAACTTTCATAGTTAACTGTATTCTGTCTTGACAAACGCAAAAACTTCAAAAAACTCGTGTTTACTTTTAAAATATTATTTCAATTGTAGTACATAATATACAAACATTCAAGTTATTTTAAATACTCTCAATTGCTGCGTATACATGCAGGACAATAGTATATGTCACAAACACTTGTATGAAAGCACAACTATTTACGTTTTGAAGTGAAACATGTCAAAACCTTATCCTAGCAGGCACTCAAGTACGATATTTTTGCGTATTCCCGCGTAAAAAAAACATGACTTGTATGTGAATGTTCACTTATTTGTTGGTTGCATTTGTAAGATAATTAGAACTTCGCTGAATTCTACATGTCAATACAAAAACCGTCGTATTTACGAAAGCTTTTACTAAAATGATTTTATGTCAACATGCAAGTTTTTTTCTACGTTATAGTGTGTATGCTACTACATGCAAGAGTTTAGTTTTCTATCCTATGTGTAATTATTGATTTCATGTTTAAATACATGCTTTCCATATGTGTTTTGTTTTTTTAAGCATTCTAGTATTTTCTTGTATGTGAAAATATAAAACGTGTACATGTACAAATTTCTATGTGTGTAAATGTAAATATAATTAGTTTACTTTGTGACGCGTCCGGACGTATATCATTTTAATATTGATTCGAGCAATTCTAGAATTAATTTTTCATAAAACTATAAAATTCCATAATACAAAACACATTCATCATTATTGATCGGATAGTTTAAAAATTGTATTTTATCTATCGAAGATGAAAATGTTCGTTGAATATTTAAATAATAAGAAATTATTATTTTCAAGAAAAAGTAAATTTTTGATTTCTTCATTAGGGCATTTTTACAATAACTTACCTTATGTATGTTTCACATTTTTAATTTGTATTCGATATTTTCCTCATAACAATGTTGTCAAAAATGAAAAAAAAATAAGACATTATTTCAGAGGTTCTTTTTTCCTTAGTCAAATGTTGTTTTTATTTTCAAGAATTATGAATATATACAATACGAAGATATTTTTTTATATGTTAATAAAGAAAAAAAAGAATAATGTTAAATGTATAATAGATCTACTAGAATATGAATGACTTCTAAATAATATTACACATATTTATAAATATAATCTTTAAAAACAAAAAGATTAAAAATAATGTCTATAATGGTTTTGTGGTCGATTGATTCTTGACAGCATCTTTTATCAAGCTCAGTGATGGTTGAAAAGCTTCTTTATGAACTTGAGAAAATGGATGTCCACATTGACCTAAATAATCCTCGACCTTATCCATAAATGTAACGGAACCACATAGATAAACATGTGTCTTAGGCGTTACTGTTTTCGTAATTGTTACTTGTAAAAGATGTTTACCTTGAAGAAGTATATAATATTGATTTTTTGTCAAAATTTTATGCATTTGATCAGCAAAAACAGCTTGATCTTCTGTTAATACACAATGAATTAATGTTACAATATCTGATTTACCTTGTTTATGTAAATCTAATATCATGGATGAAAAAACAGAAATACCAATACCACTAGCAATAAATAAATGATGTTTTGCATCTGGTATTAAAGTATAAGTACCAGCTGGTAAACTTACTGATAATGTATCACCTACTTTATATTTTTCAATAAGTTCAGTAGAAACAACTCCTTTTGATTCATTATTTTTTTCTTGTTTAATTGCAATACGATATGTTTTACCATTAAATAGTTCAATCAAACTATAATATCGAATATGATAAAGACCATCTTTTTTAATACGAATTGTTATATATTGTCCAGAATGATAATCACGCATTTTTCCACCATCACGACGTTCCATTGTAAAAGCAACAATTGGTCCACTTGCGATTATTTCTTTTTTTGTAATTGTAAATGGAATAAAACCCTGTTCACTTTTATCACCAAGTTCATTGTATAATCGTTTTTCTATATTGATAAAAATAGTTACAATCATATTGTAGGCAGCTGACCATGCACCTAAAATATCTGGATCTCCCATACCACCTAAGAATTCATCGATTGCTATAAGTAAATATTTGCCAAGAATTGGATAATGTTCTGGTTGAACTGTTGAAGCACGATGTTTATGAGAAATAAGTAGAAATTGAGGTAAGAGTACATCTAAATGATCAATATTTTCAATAGCAAGATACATTGTATTTGCCAATGCAAATGGTTGTGTACCATTTTTTTGATTTGTTCGATTAAATATATTTAATAATTCTGGATGATCTGCAAACATATGTTTATAAAGTATTGATGTAATTTCTTTTCCATTTTCTTTAAAAATTGGTGATGTTGTTTTAAGAATTTGTTTTTGTTCTTCTGTAACTGGCATTTTGTAATCTAAGTATGAAAAATAATAATATGATTTATTAATATTAGAATATATATATATATATATATATATATGTTTAATATTTTATTTTATTTGCAATAATTTTGTTGACGTGAAAAGTTAAAATCTACATTAATAATGTGTACAAATATTTGATAGATTTATAGTTTGATAAACAAATATAAATTAACATAAAGTCAGCTGTTGAAAGATTAAAAAAGAAAGTTCAATATAATAAAAAACTGATTTATTGCTTAAGAAGATTTATTCTGGTTAAATATACAATCTTCGCAGCATATCTGATTAGTTTTTTGATATCGCTCTAATTGTATCGGATAATTCTGATTTTTGGGATTTTTCGATGCTCGTTCAAAAGAGGTACCGAATATTAAAAAAAAAAGAGACTAATCGTCAAAGCTAAAACGAATTGGAACGGTTTCAAAAAAATCAGCAGCCAGCGGTGATATATCTAAATATGGATATGTTGTAATTATTAATAACCCTATTTTCTAGAGTAAACAATCTTGTTTGTTTTCTTTTATCAAAACCTATAAATAATTGCAACTTTTTGTCTTATTTGAGATTGTAAGAACGTCTTACTTATCCAAATACCTACAACAGGAGATTAAAAAAATCTCATATTCCTGATAAAAACTGTCATGTCTATTTTCTATGAGAATGATATTTAATAGTATTAAATATTTACGCATTTTATATAAAGTATTAATGTTTTTCCTATTCTTTCTATCATGTATTATAACTTGAAATTAAATTACGTACATAAGAATGACATCAAAATATAAGAAAAAATGTATGCATTCATTTTAAACGCTTACAGTAATGTAATAATATGTAAACTTTGATGAATTTTAACAAAAATCTTGCATGTCTTTCAGTTTTCCTATGTTTAATTCTTGAAATATATTCAGTAGATAGAAGATACTTCAAAACATATATTAAATAGCAAAACACAAAAATGAAAAATCTAAAATTTTCGATCAGGAAAGAGGCAATATCGAAGAATCACTTAAAAAATGATTTATCGCTCTATTAATGAAAGTCAAATTCTAGAAAAATATAGCTTTTTTTTCTATAATTACACATTAAGCATAGAATTGCAATTTATAGATTATCAAAGAAAAATCTTGTATTTTTTTAAAAATCATTTACTATGATGATATAAATGTTTTCAATTATTTTCACTTCATGACTTACAAATTTATTTGACTTGGAATTTTCTTAATTGCCGTAAATTTGAAGTGATATAAAACTTTAGTTGTCTTTTTTGACAGTAGAGAATAAGAGACTACTTAGGAATGCAGTAGAAAATAGAAAATACGATGAGAAAGATGTAATAGAAAAAAAAAGAAAGAAGATACGTAATATAGAGAGAAAAGGAAAAGTAAATTAAGCAAG